ACTGAAAAGGAACTTACAGAGACAAGAATGGATCTTGCCTAAAGAAAGTGCAAAAAAACCTGTGTGTTACAGTGAAATGTAAGCTTCAGTTTGCACTAAAGCACCATGAGGCATGTTTCTTGTCATGGTTTAACCAGTATAATCCTTGTGCTAGTGAAAATGAATTGAAGCAGTTTTTCTCCCTCCCTGGCAAGCTGAAGTGATTTGTCTATGTGTGTGTTCCCAAGGGAATGGTTGGAGCAGTGGTGCCCTCCCAGGCAGACATGTGTACAGTACTACATGTGTACAGTACTACTGAGATACCATCTCCAAATGAGCAGAAAGCAACTATTGGCCCTTTCAGCAAGAATTGGGGCTCCTTTTCAGCTACAGCAAGGAATAACTTAGGCTATGTAGCACCAACAACTACCAGGGTGTCTGGGTTCAGTGCAAGAGAAACCAGGTACAGATATTAAAGGACCAGCAGTGCTGGCCTCTGTGTCTCGTATCACTCAAGCTAAAGCATGGACCATCATTCCTGAGCTAACCAACAGTGGAGGTGTGTGCCTAGCCCTTCCAAAAAAGGGGTAAGCCACATCTAATGACAGGAGCAAACAGCCAGGGATATGACTTGCTAAGGGCTAGGGTGTATTTTCTTCTGTGGAAGATTAAACAGTCATAATCAGCATGCCACATCCTTTTGGCATTTACATTTTTCAAAAACAAATCTGGGGCATTTCTAGGGTGTTATAATAAAATCAGACTGGGCAGTTGTCTGGCTTCAGCCTGTGCAAATCAAGAGACGAATTAAAGAGTTTGGGCTGCTGACCTGCTGCTGGGCAGGACCCTGTGCCCTCAAGCAAGCCTGCAAGGTTGGGTGCTGGGAGGGCACCTTTAATTTTCCCCAAAGGGAAAAATTCCTCTGGGCATCACCCTCTGGATGAGCAGGAGATGAGTCTTTTGCCTCTGGCAGAGCTGCCTGGTGGCTGCAATACTCTTCCCCAAAAGTGTGTTAGAGGGCAGTAACTCCTGGATATATGGATACAGACACTGCACACACCTCAGCTCCCCTCTCTCAAGGCCTGTACATGTAGCAATCCTTCCCTACAAGCCAGATAAAACCAAGTTGGACTCGTCTGCATCCTGCCTCCTGCCCAGGGTTTTTCCCTAGAGCATCACCTGCTGGTCCCGAGGTGCAAGAGCAGATGTACGAGGCAGCATCTCTCTCTTCCCTTATCAGGCCTTTGATGCACACCCTGATCCATGCCTGCTCTGAGCCTGACATTTTTCCTTAGGCACAAAACTCCCATCCTGGGAAGCAGAGTGCGTCAGGGCTGAGCCCCTTCTCCACAATCAGTTCATGGTGTCCTCTCCCTTAGGTTCAGAGAGCATCTGGAGTCACCCTTGATGGGATGGGGCTGGGTGGGATGGTCTTGCTTTGCAACCTGGCTCCCTCTACAAACTCTCTGAAAGGGAAGGAGACCCACTGGGGAATTTTTTCCCACCAGAAGATGCAAAAGGGAAGATGATTTTTCCTTCTGCCTCCCCATCATTGCCTTTATTGCCTAGCTAAAATGGAGGGCAGCTGGCTATCTCAGCATTGTAATTTGAGAATAAAAACTCTACGGATTCTACGGGGCGTAAGACCAGGAGTGGTTTAAATCAGGGCAAGACCAAAGGGTTTGCTGCTAAACCAAGTAAGCTGCCAGTGCAGAGCACTCCAGGAAAACAAACAATGCAGTCTCCATGTATTATTAGAAGGGTATTTCCCTGTCTGAAGGAAAGGGTCAGAGGAGGAGACTTCAGGCCAGAAAAGCAGCTCACAAGAAAAGCCCATTTCAGAGGGGCCAAGGCTATGGCACTGCGCGGCCCCAGCACCACGACTCCCCTCGCCGGCAGCTCTGACTCCAGAAACGCTGCAGCACTGAAAGGAGGAGCGAAGTCTCCAGGGCTTTCACGGAGCTGAATGGAAAACAAAGACAAAAACTCAACCGACCAAACAGAATTTGCTCAACCCCTCACACGTGGCAGCAAACAGGGCAACAAATGCACGGTAACTCAGGCGCACAGAAAGCAGGCGCCTAAAGCCCATCGATAACACGTGATCCCAGCTAACATCATGCTGGGGACTGGGGCAAACTTAAGGTGGAATTACTCGGGCTTTCCCCAAAATGCCTATGGAGGGGCCTGTTCCTGGTGATGTTTGCTACTTGCACCAAATCTGCTCCTGCGGTCACCTCCTGCTTTCAGCGTGGCTCTTGCATGTGTGTAGGATGGCCAGTGTGTTAGTTGGAGGCCAGAGCATCTGCAGGATTTTCCCTACCGCACTTTTAGTCAGCATTTTGCCCTCTTTTATACACCCCAGTCACAGGGCTCTGATTCAGGCTTGTGACTTTCTAGTGCAAGCACAGCTTGGCTTTGGTTCACCCAAAGTCATATGGGGCGCTGAAATGCCTTGTGAATGTTCAGAAAAGGGTGTGGGGGCAAAGGATGGTGTCAGGAGTTGGGATGCCATTTGTGTAACAGTGGGAGCGTGTTTCCTTCTGCTACCTAGCCATAAATCCCTGCTGTTTCGTAAGCAACACTTCCTAATGTTATCTGCAGATACGTATCTCGCAGGCTCGAGATATGTATACTTGTCATGGCTTTACCAACACGTAGCACGCTGCAGTTATACAACAGCTCTGACTGAAGTTTTACAAGTGGGATGGTGAATCTACATGTCCTTAATGTCACATCGTGATGAGGGAAGCTGAGGCACTGAGGACCCTGCTAAAGCCAATTCAAAGCTTTAAGTGGCACCTGGCTGATTCAGTCACACACAAAGCATCACAGCTGCTCCCACCCTCACCTGCCTGCTCTGCAAAGGCCCTCGGGGCAGCGATGCTGTGCAGTTTTAAGGGACATAGTAAAGAAGAGAAGCAGGAGTTAGGAACAAGCTGGGAAAGGAGCCCCCTTTCTTGCTGGCTGCACTCAGCTCTGCCTGTCCGGTCTCCTTCTCCACTAACAAAGCATTCCTCTTTTCCCTCCGGAGCCTTTTGCAACTGGAATAGTACCAGCAAGATCAGGCCGAAAAGCTTTTCAAAAGCTGCAGCCCGAATTCTCACACTTGGTAGCGCCCCACACAGCCAACCTTAACTTTCAGACACTTTTAAAGTGCTGACATAGAATATAACAAATCATTGGGTTTTATTTAACTGCAACGAGTGATGGTTTGTATTGTGGGGCTCCTGTCAGCCTGGACTCCTTGCAGGCAGGAGGCTGGGAGGATGCACACGCACACACATATTCTCAGAGGCTGTCACTTCGCAGCAGAAACATGAGAAGTTCAGCCCTGATTTTAGGCAGGGATCACTTAACAAAAAGCAGCCACCTCACTGCAGGCACAGAGCCCGGCTCCTGGGCTAGAAGCCAACATACGCTGCTAAAAGAGCTTATAGTGAGGCTTGCAAGGATCACGCAGAAGCAAACAATCCCTAGCTTTTAAAATCATATACATCCTGCCTGCAAAGAACAATATCAACAGAGATCTCTCACTGCCTACTTTAAATAGTTGGAAAAAGCCCCAGCCCCAGACAGCTGCAACTGATCCCCTCCTTTGCCTCCCCCTCCATCATGTGATGGTCCCGGCCAAGTGATTAAAGCTGCGGGAGCTGGGAGCTGAGTCACGCTGGGCTGTGGAGTGGGAGCTTGGGGGGTGTCCTGACTGGTGGCTGCACCATGGAGCAAGTGAGTGCCTTCTTCACACCGGACTGGGGTGCCAAGTAGGACTGGGGTTTGGGTGCCTGTGGGTTTTGGGCTTGGTGCCAGGGGTAGGAGGAGAAAAGGATGAGCTGAGAGGAAATGCTAGGATGATCTATGGCTGTGGGAGGAATAGTTAGGGCTGGCCAGCAGTTTCTCTTCTCCCTGTCTCCTCTAGCATGTTAGCTAGGTGGAAAAGCTGTTCTAATGCATATTTATATCTTTCAGTACTGTAAGGTTCTGGGACCGTTTGCTACTCTACAGTTTGAATATCCTTTCTACCTTTTTTTCTTAAACTCTGTATTTTCTTTCTGGAAAAATGCCTTTTGGGTCCAGGACTATGCTCTCTCTTACTGAACCGGCAGAGGAAAGCAGGCTGGCTGTGTGTTCTGACCTGCCCCTACCCTCCCAGCTCTCCTTTCCTCGAAAGACCCCCCTGGCACGGAGGCTGTGTTTCAGGCTCCAGCAGTGCACTAGAAATGGGGACAGCAGGCAGTGTCAGTGTGGTGAGGATAAGCAGTTTAGCAACTGGGGGAAATCTGACCTTGGCAGCCGTGGGCAGAGCAGGGAGCAGGCAGGAGGACAAGCACTGGGGGGGCTGGCTGGTGGCCCTGTGGCAGCACTGGGCTCCAGAGCAGTTGGCAGCCACTGGGGATGGGCCTGTGCATGTCAGGCAAAGTAAACTAGCCAAGTAAATATGAATTATTTGGAATTAGTCTAGAATGGAGCTCAGAATTATTGTACCAGGGGACTTGGAGCGCATGATCTGAGTTAAGTCCGACCTCACCAAACAGCATCTTCCTCTTAGCTGAGGGAGACGGGTGATGTTAAATGCTGTTTTGGGGGTATGTGATTAGGGGAGCAAATAACCTGGCTGTAGGAAAAGGAACAACCCCTTTTCTCCGCAGTGGGAGCTTCCCTGGGGGTGTTTGTTCTGCTTTGCTGGGCTGCAGCCAAGGCTGGGCTTCACTGACCCCTCTCTGTGTAGGCTGCTTTAAGTCAAGACAATGCACTTTTTTTTTTGGTGATCCCTGTCACTTGAAGACCCACTTGTGGAAGGGGACAGACCTAGTGTTAGAAAAGCTGCCTAATTACTGTTAATCATATCTTTAGTAGCAGTGTGTAAAACAGTGCCTGCATCCTGCCCTTGTTAAATTGGCTTGAACCACCTCCTGGTCAGCTGCTGTCTTCTAGCGGGGTGGGATACCCCAGTGGGGTGGTGGCTGTGAACTGGGATTCATCTGGCCGGACTCAACCCTCCTTCTAGCACCAAACTGCAAATGGCACAGGGTCTACCAGAGCTGGTTGGTGCCTTGGGACAGATTAACGCCTCTGGTTTGGCCCTGCAGGGACTGGTTGTTACTCAGCTGGACGTCCAGCCCGGAGAGTGCGTCAAAGTCAAAGGGAAGATCAAGTCTGATGCCAAAGGGTGAGTAAGGAGATGGTGAAAGGGCTGCTGTGGCACTGGGGGAAGCCTGAGCTCCTGCTGGGGTCAGCTTGAGCTGCTGTGCAGGCACCACCTTTATGCTGCCTTTGTGTCTCCCCAGGTTTGCTGTGAACGTAGGGAAGGACAGCAGCACCCTCATGCTGCACTTCAACCCTCGCTTCGACTGCCACGGGGATGTCAACACCATCGTGTGCAATTCGAAGCAGGACGGCACGTGGGGCGAGGAGGACAGGAAGGCTGACTTTCCCTTCCAGCTTGGTGACAAGATTGAGGTGAGGCCCTGGGGGTGTGCCAGGCCCTGGCACACAGAGCTAGTGGGCATTGTCTGGAAACCTGCAGCAACCTCATCTGTCCTGTACCCTGTGTGGAGGGAGGGGGGAGCCAGGCTGGTGAGCTTGATGTGTTAGTCTTCCTTCTTGTGGCTCTCTCTACAGATTTGCATCTCCTTCAATGAAACAGAGGTAACGGTGAAGCTGCCCGAGGCGGAGTTCCAGTTCCCCAACCGGCTCGGCATGGAGAAAATTGAATACTTGGCTGTGGAGGGTGACTTTAAAGTCAAAGCCATTAAGTTCAGCTAACAGCTATAGCTTGGTTTGTCTTGTTTTCTCACCCCTGCATAGTGAAATAAACCCACACTTGCAATGGCTGCTTCCTCTGCTGTTTCCTGCTCTAATCTGCTTGCTCCTGTGTGTGCTACAGGGGTGGGCAGTGGGAAAGGGTTTGTATTCATCGATGTGCCTACTTAAACTGTGGCCTTGCAGCTGGTACTGAGTTGGACCATGTGCCAGGCAAAGCATGATTTACTGTGAATAAAGCTACCTTAGCAGTAGTTGCTTCCTTGACCCTGTTTGCTGCAGCGAGTGGTCCCAGGATGTTTGGTTTCTAAACTCGGGGATTAGTCCCAGCCAGGCTGCTGTGGCAGGGAGGCTCAAAAAAGTCTATGCTGGGCATGCCTTGTGTCATCCCCTTGCTGGGGATGGGGGACAGACTGGGAATGGGGCATGGCTTGTGCTCTTGCAAATAGCTTTGCTTTCCAAGAATGCGCTCAAGAGTTGGGTGCATTGCAGGCTGGCACTTGTGTGCTTAAGGAGTGGAGAAGAGCAGGCAAGTCGGGAAAAAACATGGATGAAAAGGTGAATCCTAGAGTGAAGCCCGACAGAGGTCTCGAGGATTCAGGTGGTCTCTGCTGCTTTGTGAACTGTGGCCTTGGCACTGACAGAGACCCACGATCATGTACCCTGAGTCAGTGGCTAAGCAGCATAGCAAGTAGGGGTGTCAAGCCATGTAGCAACCTGGGGGTCATGGGTCCTGGAGGTATTGCATCCTGAGGGCACTGAATACAGCTAGCTGCAGTTAGGTGGACCAAAAAAAGCTGAGTAAATGGTCTCTTCTCTGTACAACTGCTCTGCTCGTGCAATGCCTTGGAGTGTGTCTGCTACTGCTGTTCCCCAGCTGCCTGCTAGCCATGCCTGTTGGGCTCCAGTTGGGACTGTTTCAGCGCTTGAGGACATGATGAAAGGTAAAGTGGAGAGCTGGGAGCCTGGGCAGCCCAGGGTGGGGGGCTGGCTCTGTGGCTATCACAACTACAACAGCCCTGGCCCAGTGCAGCTCAGCTGGCAACTGACTGTGCTGGTGTGAGGTGCTGCCATAGCCAAATGCTGCTGAAGTGGTGGAATTTGACTCTCTTTTTGGCTAATCTCTCCCTGCATTTGCTGCTGCTCTGAACAGCTGAGCAGTTGAGCCAGCTGCTTGGGTGGGGGCAATGCCACTCTAGAGTATTTCAGCCATTGGAAGGTGGTGTATAGAGAGGCCCGTGCTCTCCCTCTTTTGGCTGATGTAGCTAATGATAGCAAGGGATTTGGTTGCAAATAAGCAGGAGGTTTTTTAGGCACCTGTTCCTCTGGGGAGGTATGTGTGTCTGGGGAACACCAATGGGCTCTGCTGCAGTGTCAAACTTCAGCAAAAGTTTCCACTGTGCATCTGCTGGGAGGGTGGGGAACGGTTGCTGGAACCCATCTACTATGGGGGAGTAAGACAAAAATGCAGGACAGGGATAGCTCCCTGTGTGGCCATGCTGCAGGACTATCTTATTTAACACAGGGGCACAGATAATGGCGCTTATTAATTCCTGTCCTGCATCTACTGCATTATTTCCCACATCTGTGGCATTAGGATGTTAGTTTTTAGAGGGTAGGATGTGTTTACGAGGCAAAGGATGAGAGAAGTGTTGCTTTTGCTTTACCTTGTCAAATAAGTCCTGAAATTTTATTGGAAGGGGTAGGGTGTTAGGAAGAAGAGGATGGCTTTTTATCTTGCTCCCCTCTATTGCTGTGTGTTAATATCTGACTGAGGGTACACTAAGAGACAAACAGTACAAGGTCTTCAAAAGTACAAGGTCCTTATGTTGCAGAGGGAGAGGGGAGCTCCCAGCCGGTGCCTCTGCCATCTCTGTTGCTGTCTGCCCTGCTGAGACTGACAGGAGTGAAGCTGATCTCATTTTTACCTGTTAAGCTGGCAGTGCTGATTTCTAGGTCAGTTACCCTCAAGTGTTCCTGACTGCTATGCTCAGGGTACAAATAGTGCCTTCATCAGGGCTGCCCCCCTTCCTGTACTTTCCACAGCAGTTAATTAGGCTTATCCTGCTTTTGAACACTGGCAGCTACCACGAAGGAGACCACAAAACAGGAGAAAGGGGAGGAAGGAAGCAGGCCTTTGCCAGCAGTTCCTGCCTCTTTAGTTTTGTTCTCCCATATCCCAGAGCTATAAATACTCCTGTTCATATACGTGACACTGGTGAACAGGCAGGGTAAATGCGAAGTGCCCTGGCTGGCTCCTGGAGCGAAGACAAGACTTCTTTTCTGCTAGAGTGATCAGGAAAGCCAGAACACTGTGCCCTGCTGCAGGCAGAGAGTTGTGGTGAAAGTATGAGCAGGGCTTGTCCCTGCCAAATGCACTCCCCTGGAAGCCCGTGGTGAGCTCGGCTCAACAGTATCTCTGGGAGGAACCCGATTTGCTTTGGGGAGCAGCAGAAAGTACCACAGCATTGCCTAAGGGTGGTGCTTTTCTTTTCGAAAATTCTTTATTTTTATTTAATCCTGCATAGTGTGTAGTCAGTTGTTCAGTCCAGAAACACATCCTAACAGGAGCTGAGAGCCTATAGGAAGAGTCTGCCCTGTGGTTGCCTGAACACTGAACTCAAGGGGAGAGCGTGGTGGGAGAACAACACTGATCCCTGTTGAAGTGTTTGCATTTGTTGAATCCTGAAAGTTTGCTAATCCCAACTCAGCCTCCATCCGTGGCTGTTCACCAGGAATCAAAGCTGTATCATCTGTGTACCTAGAGCATGATGGACAGGGGAAAGGGGACCATGAAGACCCTGGCAAACAGCTGTGAGGCTTTGTTTTAACATGAACACAGATTAAGTGGCTGTATGTTATCACCTCATGTCTCAGAACAGGAGAACAAACAGTTGCAGAAGAGATGAGTTTGGAAACAGCAGCTGTGACAGAGGGATGAAAATATCAGGACCTAAAAGAGTAGTGAGGGCTAAAAGAGACCAGCAGCTTTGTCTTCTCAAAAAATAACTTTTTCCTTGAGCAGTTCACATTAACTTCACTTGACAGAAATAGGCCATCCAAGTCACTCTGTAGCTACACAAGCAGGCATGTGACAGTGTTCAGCACAGCCCCAAAATACAGTTGAAGGACACTACACCCAGAAACTGAGCGTGGTGTCAGTATGGGCAGTGTGTGGGAAGGCAGTGCTGGGGAAGCCCAAGGGCAATCCAGCTTGTGGTGGGGCAGGGAAAGCCAGCTGGGTCACTTCTAGTCACTTCTCACTGCAATTTACAAGAGGAAAAGGTGCAAGGCAATTTCTTCCAAGCAATAGACATAAGAAATTAACCGACATCTGTTGTATGAAGTGAAATGTGACCACCAGCCAGCTTTGCAAGAGCACTCAGTGTGCTGACAGCCATGCTGTCTCCTCACCCCCTGCTCTCTTGGCCACCGCTTCACAGTTTAAAAGCCAAAAGCAACCTCTGTCACTCACTTCCAAAAAGTAAGCTTCAAGCCATAAGCTGCATTACCTGATACCTAGCACCTCATTTTGATGCAGAGCATGTGAAAACTTAACCACGAGATTCCCCTTTCCTGTAGTGAAATGGAGGTCTGAGCACAAGGCTGGGCTCTGCTACTTGTGGGATACCTGGCCCTTGGGCTCACACAGGCACTGTACAGAGGTATAAACCAAGAGATGAAGGCAAATGCCACCACGCAACTGAGGAACTGTGCCTGAACACCACACTGAGACCCCCTGCATCCCCTCATGCTGGGGCCCTCCCTCTGGGGACACCCCTGTGGAAACCACCCCTCCAACATGCCTGCTTTCCAACAAACTAAGCCATTTTTCCCCCTCAACCCCAACCTGGCTCCTTCCCACACAAGAGAAAAAAAAAAAGTATAAAAATATATATGTACTTACCTTTCCTCAGCAGGCTTCAGGCTGAGGTGCGTGTTTCCCTGCAGCACGTTGTGTGTGGGCTTCTGGCCCTCTGCCCCTGAGCCCAGCTGTCCTTTGTTAGCCCTGATTACCCCACAGGTTTAAGTTTAAAAAAAAAAAACACCTGGAGGGGTGGGTAGCAAGCCCTGCTATTATTTTTGGAGATTTTGGGGAGGGATGGTGGTGGCTGGGGGTCCCAATGTCCCCCTTGTGTCCCTCTCTTCGACAGCGTGAGGCGGCCCCGCCAAGCCCCTTCCTGAGGTAAAATGGCGCCCGCCGCAAAACCAGCGTGGTTAACCAAGAGAAACTTCTTCAGAAAGCCACTTTCTCCTTTAAAACCTCCCACAATGGCTTCTCATTTTCAGATACCATTCTTTCTAAGCTTGCTCAGGTCATTTTTTTAAATCACAATCTTATTTTTTAAAAAAAATCACCTGTGGTAGAACAAGCGGGGCAAACACGGCTCCCTCGAAAGCTGTTTCCTCAGTATTTGCCCTGTTGCGGAGCTGGGGCTCTGGCAAGACTGTCTCAAGCTGTGAATGTGAGGGGAAAAAAAGCTGCCTGGCTCATATTTAGCAAGATTTTGTTTGGTTTGAGAGTAAAATGAGCCCTTTTTCTTGATTCTGAGTCCCAGTCCAGGCAGAGCCAGGCTGACTGCCCTCAGAAGCCCGGCTGAGGGTGCGAAGCCTGGCGGGCTCCGGTTTCCCGCCCTTTTCACCACCGGCCTCAGGCGAGCAGGTTTGTGCAAGGATTTTAGCACGAATGCAGCGTGCTGTTATGGAGACGTTGTGTTGCTGTATGCACATAAGCAGCAGCAAAAATTGCACGTGTAAGCGTCTGGCAAGGGCTCCCCATGCTACTTGATAGCCTGTTTCTGCAGTTTGTGTTGAAAAGGGACAGTAGAGTCTGGCTGATCCGGGCAGGAAAGGACCATCTCTTAAACTCAGACCACTCTGGCCACATAAATACATTCAGTTGCACAACACAAACAATAATGCCATGCCATAGTCAACATCTATTCCCTTTAGAGGGGAAAAAAAAAGGGAGAAACAGCTCTTAAGTGAATCAGGCCCAGCTGTGGCTTGGTGGATGGTTGGATAAAGCACCGAGAGACCCAGGGATTGAGTCCCTAGATGTGATTTAAACCACAGGTTCTCCTATGAAAAGCTCGCTCTGTTTCCCATTTTGCAACTGACGAGTCACTGCTCATGTGAATATTCAGCATTTGTGTGGAGTGTGTATGAAATGCTGTCCCATTTGGTTTGTTGGCTTCTCCGAATTACCAGTCTAAATGACCACGACAGCAGCTGCGTTGTAGAGATGATGGATCAGGCCTGATGCATAAACTGGTTCTCTGCGTTTGACTGATTTTATAGGTAACCTTCACAAAAGAGCTCATGTATAAACTTACAACCAACAAACACAATTCACTAGATTTAGTCTTGAGGAAAGCAGCTGACGTGAATTCCTTGTGACCATCGATTGCCCAAGGGCTCTGATAAAATAAAAGGCAAATTTTAGGCCAGATGAGTAGATTACCTCAGTGCCATCAGTGCCTCCTTGCTTTTTTACAACCAGCTTTTACCTTCAACTGGCAATGTTTGTGAAAAGTCTAACTGCTTTGTCCTTCCCAGGGATTTTTCGGGAGCTGAGGAAGCGAGGCTGAGCACCTCACCCTGTGCTAGGCATCAACTGAACGGGCTGGGTGGCCATTGCAGGACCTTCAACAGCTGATGGACATCTCTGGAGACTGCTTTGGTACGTTGAAGTCACATTTTGGGAGGAGTCTTTTCCACCATCACCTACAGAGGCCGGCCACAGAGGCTGTCCCTGTGGCAGGGTGGGAGGTAGGGTATTACACCCCAGTATCCCAAACCAATGTTTCAATTATAAAAATAATCCTCATTTTTAGCAAAAATGCCCATCTCTCCCGAACCACTGCTTATTTCAAGATGCGTTTTGAATCATTTGTTTTTAACATCCTGCTGCAGTTGCAAGGGGAAACTCCTGGGACACTGCATTTTGGGGAAGGGGTAGCAATGCAAATCATACTCCCTGTGCTTACTGGTTTTGTCCACTGCAGCCACAGGTTCAGAGCTAAAAAATCTAACTTAGCCAGACCCCAAATTCGGATTTGTTTCAGTAAGTTTACAAGGAGTAGACAAAAACAATGTAAAATTCCGTCCATGGCACTCCTGTCCCATGAAATTGTCATGACTGTGAGAAGTGAGTTTCCATTATATTCTAGTTTTAGAAACACAAGAGAAAAGCAAGGTGGGATAAGGAGCAATGAATAGGTTCCCCTTTTTACCAGAGGCACTGAGAAGTGAATCAGCAGGCTTGGCTGATGTTTAATTACCTTTAAATACACGTCAAGATGTGCTTCTACCAAAGTTGCAGTTAGGGGAGCAATTTCTGAACAAATTCTCGCAAAGACTGTTCCCTAATGCTAAACTTACCAGTGCTTACAACAGAAATATGGACTGTAACTTATTTTTCACCTGATGCTGTAAGCAGTTATAAAAATGTGAATGAATTATCACTTGCCTCATTACCTGATGTTTATCATTATCCAGGGGGAGCACACGCAGGGCTTTCAGCACCCCCCAAACTTGCTGGACCGTGGAGCCGTGCCAAACATCCGAATTTCCTGCAAACCACCATGATCCCTTAACCTCAAACTTTCCTAGCTGGAAACCTGACAAAATAAACCGTTTTACACACTATTTAGTTATGCCTTATATACCACCACCACAAGGCTGGCCGACTGCCCGCCAAGTGCAGTTACTTCAACAGAAAATGCAATGTTGGCTGGTCCCAAACTGTTCCCAAAAACCTGCCAAGTCTTGATGGAAGAGGGGCTGTAAGGAAAAAAAAAAATCTAAGTGAAAACAACTTTAAAATACGATCAACTAAACTGAAACACTGTGTGGGATTTATTTTGTTAGGACAAATGAGATGTTTTGATTGGCTTGAAACGGCTCCCTCCACTGTTTCCCTGAAAGTCCCCTCAAACAAAGAATTATTCTTGAATGGCCCCCAAAATACTTTTCCCTCCAATTCTGTTTATGATTCAGCTGGGAAGGCAGAAAAATCAGCTCCCCTGCTTAGGGTTCTCATGAAATGCTGCATGAGCCTGAATAGCGTTCAAGCTGAGAAGTGATGAAAGGGGTGCATTTGCTGTCATCGCAGGTAACTGGTGTTCTGCTTCAAAAAGCATTAAAAATCAGGTAGATTTTCTTGTGGGAATTGGAGAATTGGTGCTTGATATGACATAGGCATTTTCTTTAGTCTGCCAAGCTGCCTGTGGAGGAGCTAGGATGTGAGCTAGTAAAATAAATACAAGGGGGCTTTAAAACCAGCACGGAAAGCAACAAATGTTGTGATTTTCAGTCACATCCTAGAGCTGAAATTCAAAATGAATGGACTTGAACACGACACGACTGAAACCTCTGCTCTGGTTTTGGTGGACTTTTCTTGCTGCAGCACGAAACCTCTGCATTATTTGAGGAGAGATGACCCGGATCTGGCTCCTTGGCCATGGTGGTAAGCTGTTCCTGCAGCCTTTAGCCTCTTCATTAGAACAGGGATGCAGTTTGTTAGAGCACAAAACACATCCCAGGTTAGTAAGTTGATCCTGTAAGGTTCAGCCGGGCAACTTTAGTTAGTTCAAGTTGGCCTGACCAGGAAATAATCCAACAGTCTTTGTGGTAGGCTCTTGTCTAACCTGGGCGCACGACGTTATCGTTACGTGTGCGTGATTGCTGTGGGGAGGAAGGGAATATTGAATTTCACATCAGTGCCTCTTCTGGCTTGTGAAATAATTCCTGATGAAGCGGGTGCAGAAAAATGAGGTACTGCTGTATGAAAGAAGTCCTAGTGGGTATCATCCCTCCACAAAACCAGCCCTATAAATAACGTCATTAGAGATCCCTCGCATCTCATGGAAATGCATTCAGGCTGCAACAGTGATACAGATCCTGAGTCAGATTATTTCAAACAAAGACAGATTCCCCCCAGTCCCACAGTGAGTCCAGACCTGAGCTCATTCCTTCCTGCTCACCTGGGCTCCTGAGAGGCAGCGGCTCATAAAAGCGTGTTTAAACTCCAGAACCAGTGGATCACAAGACCCAGAAGAGGAAATACTGTATTTTCCTAATTAAAAACTCCTTCCCAAGGCCACACGTAATGGTATATTTAGCATGTGTCGAAACAGGTTGAAGCTTCTTCTGGTAGCCCTTTATTATATTAAAAAACAACAACAACAAGAACAAAACCACGAAGAGGTGTTTCAAGCTAACGCATGACTATCTTTGGGGTTCCCTCTTTTAGTTAAGGTTTTCACAAAATACAAAATTAAATGTCTTTTCTACATACAGAACAAAGTAGAATCAAGTAGCTGATTAGAGTATGTACAAAAACTTACACATTCTGTCTTGTTCTTTAAAAAATATAAATATCAATAATGTTCAGTAGAATGGGTCGGTTTTACTTTTAAGGCTTCATTCTTTTAGATCCTTCATTATTTCTTGTGGTGCCAGGTAGGCAGGAAAGGGAGGCAAGAGAGGAGGTCAGGTGTTTTATTAAAGGTAATGTGTTTATTTGTCGTGAGACTCTTCCTCATCTCTGGCAGGAGGAGATTGCCCTCCACACTGATTTACGTTTCCAGGAAGCAGAGGTGGAAGGAAAGGAAAATAAAACCTTTATTATTGCTAATTTTTTGTGTGTCCTTCATTAAAATCTCGTTTCAAACCTGTCTCCGCTCATTGTCACTGTAGAAAACCATCTGCCAAATTCTCGAGCAGGAGGACTTTACCCCAGGGAAAGGTTAGAGCGAGGAGGAGACCGCTGGAGGCGTTTTACCACCGGCCCCAGCAGAGGTAGCAAGTGCTGCAGCCAGGGCAGCCGCTGCTGTCGCGTCCCGGGGCGTGAAGTCTGTGGGGAGGCTTTCCATCAGGCACTTGAGCTGTTCCTGCCCCAGCTTGATTTTATCGTCCAGCTCTCGCTGCTCTATAAGGAGCGCGGACTTCATCTTGACAAAGTGCTGGTAATCCTGGAGCTGCTCCTCTGAGAGGTAGTTGCCCAGGATCTCCAAAACCACCCGTTCTCGACGGTCGAGGTTTTCCTTCAGTTCCCGGGCGTCTTCGTGCTGGCCAGCCAGCAGTTTCCTCTTCTCGTTCAGCGAGCTCTGCACACACCAGAGAGAGTGCTTCAGTATCAGCAGCACCCAGCTCACCCCTTCTCCTTCCCCCTCACACCACATTTGCCACCTCCCAGGGTGGTGGGATGACTGCTTAGCTCCCAAACTCACGGTCAAAAGGAGGAGGATGAACTCCTCATGGCAGACTGCATGTGGATCCCACTGTATCTCACTTTGGATGTGCTACTCAATGTGGGCCACAAAGTGCTCCAGGAAAGGCAATAAAACTTCCTTGAAAGCAGCAGCTACTAGGAAAATCTGGCTTTGCCTCCCACTGCCAGCCAAACAATGTTAAAGTGTGGCTTCGACGGAGGCAAAAGGCGGAGGGTTGTTCCAGGACCACACCACCATATGGCCTATCCTGCAGACACGCCGTCCCAAACACGGCCATTCTGTTTCGAGACAAAAGCTGCAGGATCTGAGACATTTACAGAAACCAGGACCAGGATTCCCAGGGCCAGAACCACCTTTGCTACCGCTTACACATAAGGATGAAGGCACTTTCCTCCCTACAAGCTTTTGAAGGTCCTGTCTTACTCGGTTCTTGTGACTGCTGCTGTCCTTGCACCCCAAAAAAGGCCACGACGCTACGGCTGCGCAGATACGTACCCGCTCCTCGCTGTTGGCGTTTTCCCCTAGACTACTCAAAACGTTCTCTACGCGGGCCAGGCGTCCCGAAAGGGAGAGCAAGAGGTTCACCACCTTATCCAAATCGCCGATGAACATCTTGTATTTGTCAAACTCGTTGGGTTTGCATAGCTGGCTGATCAACAGCTCCACCTCTTCTCCCAGAGCGTTATTCATCTTGATGTCCGCAAGCAGGCCTTCCTTGGCTTCCTTCAGGATTTCCAGTTTGTGGGTCAAGCTCCCGATGAGCTCAGCCTGTCAGAAGGGAAACACAGCGCCACATCGGTCATTACCACAGTCACCCTGGTCATACGGATGACGACAGCAAGAGGATATGGCTCTGGTGTCTGAGGAGCTGGGTCCAGCCAGCAACAGCTGACAAAGAAGACATTAAGGAGGAAAGAGAGAAAACTCTGAAATTCCACATCTAATCTGAATTATCACCTCATCAGATTACATGAGGATATATTTGTTCTACCACCCCAATGAACATTTTTAAGAGAGACATCTGATTTGGTGTACCACATTCTGATACCCAGGAACTGACACCTGAAAGAGGATCATCGTATGCACCCTTCTTCAAAAGGTTCTTTAAAGTACCCGAGTGACAAGAGCTGCAGTCACATCTCCTGTGTATTTATTCCTCACTCCCTGTCCCAGCCTGAGATTTCTCCTTTGGATGTTGTATTTTTCACAACTCAGCACTGTACAAAACAGCTGCCAGAAAAATGAATTTAAAGTTGTATTAGTGGCACGACAGGAGACTGTGCTGGCATCAAGCAAGCATTTGAACCAAAGATGCTCGAAATTTACTTGGCAATTGAGCAAAAACATGGAGAGCACACACCCATTTTGCGAAAACGCTGGCAAGTGTTTCACTGCCAAAGAAAAGGAGGCCCCCAGGGTTCAGTTACTCCAGAAACAGCAGTGCTGCACATGTGCTGGGGATCCTAATTCCTGTGAGGAGTTAGGGGAAAGACATATGCAAAAGCAGAAGTCTATGGCTTGGGGCATGCAGTTCTTGCTTCTGTTTAGTCAGAACTGAGAGCAGGAAAAGCTCTTGATACAGAGGTTGGGTAAGTTCAGCCTCTTCAGTTCATGCCCTGCTGAGGCATCGTGATATGTGTGTTAATCTGCTCTGCATACAAACCCTGCAGCATGAAATAGAAGTAAATCACAAACTGCCTGAAAATATTCTCTCAAGGTTTACTAACACAGCCTCCTTTCCATCAAAACCGATGGTAATTCCAATTAGCAAGGTGGTCTGCTTCAAAGGAGAAAGGATCTTCAGACTTAGTTGTGGCCTGTCAGAGCGGGGTTTAAACGCTGGTTTCTCAGCTGGGAAGTAAAGAGCGCTTTTTAGGCAGACACCACTAGATGGTACACTTAGTACAGTCCACCAGCTTCCTCAGACACGCAAAGGCTGAACAAAATGCGAGTAAAATGATCTGAAAACAAACTGCTAAGTCACGCTGTTTGTTAGCAGGGAAGTTCAGGGGGAGAGGGGAGCAAAGGTGGGACTAAATCCCACCCGTTAGGATAAGGGACAACCAAAACTCCCCTTGCACTGTCTCCTCAGTGTGCTTATGATGCTAATGCCACCTTCAAAAGAAAGATCTGTGGTCCTCACCAGTTGATTGCTGGACTAAATCCTGAGGAGCAAAAGAAGGGACATTTTTTTCAATTATTACGGTGCTGGGGGCATGAAACAGCAAAGCTGGATGTGATGGGCTGGACATAAAGTCTGGCATTAACCTGGAGAGGTTTTGAGGAGGATGGAGCTGCTCAGAGCTGGCAGGGGGCTATGGGACGGCAGGGAGTGATGCACCTTTGTTCTGGAGGCATGGCAGCTGGACAGGGACTGCGAAATAATTGCTTTGTGTTTGTTAATCAGTGAGTCTCTGCGATCCCAAATGCCAACCAATATAGATAGCTCCTTTGCATGCTTACAGTGGAAATGAGCCTGGTTTACCCAAATGAGCTCTCAGAGTAGCTGCCTTCTCAGATAATGCCTATGCAAATGTTACTTCACACAGGCCATGAGCAAACATGCCGGCAGATCTTGCTGTCTGGGCCTGATCACTCCCATCTATTTCTGTTTTTCCATGCAAATGTAACCTCTGAGGCCTGGGACTTGTCCTCCACGGCAGCCTCACATCTCCCTGCAAGCCCGTCAGATGCCTGCAGCATGTCCACCAGCTCCTCGGAGCAGCACCCTCATCGTGTTTAATTACCCCCTACCTTTCACGTTGGTGGAAGCAGGCAGCTTTGAAATGAAGAGCAGCCCAAGAATTGATCCAGTGCTACAGACATGGCAGGGGCTGTGATTACCTTTGAAGGTGAGAACTCTAAAACAGTGGGTTTGGGACGGATAATTAAAGCAGCAGACGAAGGCCTGAGCCAAATGCATCTGACTAGCAACACATGCATGATCTACTGGCGTAGACTTGCTACCCAGAACGTGTGTAGGAGCACAGAAATAAGAGATGGCAGCAATGGCCAGTGTCTCTAGCCCATTCCAGCAGCAGGGTATGACAGTTCTCCAAATACCCAAGGAAATCCTACCTGTACCTCAAATGCTCCACAAAACAGAGCTCATCTACTCACTTACTGGTCACAATCTGTGTTACAGAGCACTTTGATGGAGGTCCCATTCTGTCACTCTGTTAAAGCCTGGTAGGGAAGAGATTTGGCTTAGCAGATAAAAGGTGAGAATGAAAAGAGTCATCTCTCCGAGTCAGGGCTGCAGGATAAATTGCAATTCCTCTACACCACTCAGCCTCACGCCTTCTCTCTGCTTTTGGACACTTGGCATGGAGATGAGCACCCGGAGAGATGTGGAGTTGTGCTACAAATACGTGAATCCCCTGCACTGTGACAAAGAGGCTAGGTTTGGGAGCCTTTCTTTAAATCTATGCCTGATTTCAGTGCAGGAAGAATTAAGTGCTATATTCACAGCATATGGGGCTTGCACAAGTATTTGTATCCTTCAGGATGTTTAAACTCTGCTGTTGTACAAACAGCATGAAATATGGTCTGTGCCACTCCGTCCAGTGCAGTGTAGGATGTTTTACATTTACAGGCAGGCAGAGTTGCTTTTGGCACGTGTGTGTGAAGGGAGACACAGACATTCAAGTGCCTGCCTGTGGCTCTTTGGGATTTGTGAGCTTCACATCATGTCTGTAATGAGCAGGTTACCACTGTGAGACAACCACAGGGACAAATTAGAAGGCTCTGCAAAAACTCTGGGAGACAGAGCACCCAAACCTACAGCAACAACTGCAGGGGCCATTCCTCAGTGAAATGTACCCACAGTATGAGAGGAAAATGTTTCCTCCTCTCCTGCCCTGCTTTGCTCTCACAGAGGTGGTGCTGACTGAGCTGCTGAGGTGCACATGGCTTTCAGCAGGTCAGTGAAACAATAAAGTATGGGGAAATGAGAGCAACCCATGTGTCTGTGGAGGCTGTGAGTGCTGTCAGTGGGTAAAATGGGTAAATTTGCTTTACTGAGGAGGAAAATCCAAGGGTGAAACCATGCACCGAGACAGTGCAGTCACTGGCTGGGCTCTGCCTCAGGGCTGCAAGGTGTGCTCCCAAATTTGCAGTAAGTGCTCAGGTCAGCCCTCTTCATTCAGTCTGGGTCACCCTAATGAAGCTTCATAAGTGGCCCAAATGCACCAGCCCCTACACAAGTTGGGACTGCCAAAAGCTGACCTCAAACAGAGACGCACTTTACTTTAGGGCTTATTAAATATTTCAGGAATGTAACCAGCAAGTGGTGGTGTGTGCCGAATTTACCTTCTTCTCATTGATGTCCAGCAGCTCCTCTTCCTCACTGACTTCTTCTGGCAAGTCCTTGATTTTATTCAGCAGCTCTGCTTTGGGGGCTGAAACACTGTAATAAGCAGGACAGGGGACCAGCGTTACGGGAGCTTCCTTTTCTTCTCTCCTAGACCACAGTGAAGAAAAAGGAGTTGTTCAGTACCTTCCCAGTTGTTAACCACAGAGGATTCCTGCCATCAGAGGGTGCACGTCAGCTGCTTTCCTCACCACCACAGCGGCTCTGTTTCAATGTTGAGTGGTTAACAACTCATATCCTTGCTGAAGGGAAATCAGCACAGCTCAGCTGGCGATGGTTCGACAGACCACCTTATCATTGCACCACTTATAAGTGCATTACAGCTTACTTACATACGGTTCTCCAGCTGTATCTACCTTAGAACAACCACACCACAGGACTTGGGCTGATCTTTGCATCCCTGCATAATAAGTAGGTGCCCCCATCTCTCCCTCCAAAATTTGGCTCCTCATTATCTTTCTGCCCAACGCTGTTTTGGTCCTGATTTTACTCAAGCAAGCAAGCACCGAGCTGTGCTGCAACACCATCCCACAACCCAAAGAGGCAGTGCTTACGTGTCTGCTTCGGCTGCTGTCCTGCTAGCTTTCCTCTGCGTCATCCTCCTTCTCATGTTGTTCTCCTTCAGCAAGCTCCTTCCGCTGGGGAAAAGCCCTTCCATTAAGTCCATGGTTGTCTTCATTTTGGAATCTGGGTCCAGGATATCAGCCAGAGACTTGTCTTTATGGATGATCTCTTTTGCCAGAGCCTCTGACTTCATGTCCTCGGGGGTCTTTGTCTTTGCCTTCGCTGGAGGTGCTGTGCTGAGCATCCCAGAGTCCAGGCTGCCGTTTTCCGACTCTCCAGTGATGACTGCTGGCTCTCTGTGGTTGCTTTCAGGGTGAGCTGTGGGCTGTCTGTCGGAGCTTTGAGGACCTTCAGAACAAGCAGGTAACTGGTGCTGCCTATCCACAGCAGATGGAGAGCTGCTCCTCTTTGACGCAGGTAGTGAGAGGCACCAATTATTTTCAGCGATACTGGTGCCTGTTATCTCCCTCTCAGACACAGCTTTGGGAAAGCTTTTGGAGCTGCTATGGACAGAAAAATTCTGTGAGATGAAGACAAAGCACACAGGACCACTGTGATCATATGGTGAAGGCCTGACACAAGCAAATTTTCCTTCTCTCTCACTTATGTTTGTCTCTTATTTCACATTTCAACACGGCAAGGCTCACACTATGGCACCAGGAGCTGGCACCCCCTCAACCTGGTCCCTGCTGCTTTGCCATTCCAACACAGGAAGAATGGTTTGGTTTCTGCTCACGGGCTAGGGACATTGAGTCTCACCACCTGGCAATGCCAGCCTATATATATTTGTCCTTTTCACGTTGGAAAAGCCAATCGCTACCATAGCCCAGCCAGATTCTACCCTGAAGGAGATCAGAGCAGCTCCCTGGGAGCAAGGGAAGCTGTGCCGAGTTCAACCAGCTGGGCACCCAGCCCAAAGCCCTATCCTTCAGGAAAAATTCACTATACAGTGTTACTGTGACATATTTCTGTTGTCACTTCTTGGCAGATGGTCACTGTTTCATAACAGCATTGTTCTGTGCCAGGTCCAAAATGTATTCTGGGAAACTCTTGACTGTTTGGAAAAACCGTCATGGATTTTCTCTCAAAAACCAGTAAGTGGAAGGAGTCAGCAGCCATTTTAACTCTTCATACTGGAGTAAGAAGCAAACCCACTGAAATCCATATGGTAACTGCAGGGGGAAAAGACCAGGACAGTTTCTCACCCATAACCTTGCTGGCTAAGGACCTGCCAGTGCACCTCCTGATGGGCCACAAAGCTTTCTGCCCTGGCCACACTTGACAATGCTCTTGGCAGCCAGCAAAGTCCTGCAGCAGTGAGCCTGTCTGTCTGTCTGTCTCTCTCTCTCCCCTTAGACCATCTGCACTCATCTGCAAGCCTCACGCTCAGCTGGTAGCTGTGGGTGGGTCGTCTCGGCACGCAGAACTGCAGAGGTCAATCCCATTTGTCTGTAGCCCCACATTTCTTACTGTACATGGCCCTACAATGCCCCAAATGCCACGTTACAGCCCTCCCTTACCTCACTTGGGCCTCCTCTGTGAGCCGGGTGGGTTTGTCTCCAGCTGCCCCGTTCCCCTCACGTGCCGCCGGAGGGGGAGGAGGTGGGAATTCCTCGGTGCCGTTTGCAGCAGTGCAAGAGCTCAGGGATGGCAGTAGGGGTGACAAGCTGGGAGCAACGCTCCCGGGCTGGGAAGGCATGACAAACACCTCATCATCTTCATCATCCTGCCCCAATGGTGGTGGTGTGAGCTGTAGGCCTGACTCCGAGATCCGGAGATGGGTTGTCCCCTGCGGAGAAGGGGTCTCGGGGTCAGAAGAAGTGCTGCTCTGTGTCGGCAGGGACTGCCACCTCTGGGAGAACGTTGGCCTGGCTGCTGGAGGAGACACCACAGCCCTTGGGTGGCTGTTGTCTTTGACTGAATGAGCCCACACCACTTTGGGTGGGAGGGATCTGTGAAGCAGCCCAGCTTTCCTTCTCCACATCATTTCATCTGTGGGAGTCTCAGGGGATCTGTCCTGGACAGCATCTGAAGACTGTGCTTGGACATTACCATTGCCCTCAGGAGGAACAGCATCTCTTTTGGCATGGTGCTGCCTCGGAGCCTGGCCATCGCCCGCAGTCTGGAAGTCTGAGGGAGTCTGGGTGGGTGTGTTAGGGGCGGACTGGCCAGATGCAGGAGTAAGGTTAAGGAACAAGGGTTTAAAGCCTTGCTTTTGCTCAGGGTGGTGACTCTGTGCCTCTGTCGGGGATGGGACAAATGCAGAAGTCCTGCTATCCGGCCTGGAAAGCTCTGAGAGTTTGTGGGTCTCGCTCAGCGTGGTGGAGCTGGTGACAACCTCGCTGCTGTGGTGAGGATGGGGATAGTAACTCGGGAAGGCCACTTTTTCTGAGTGGCTTCTTTCCTTCTTGCTGATAGACCTAAAAACCAAGAGACAGACCATGATGAGATTTAAAGTAATCAATGGGCAAGAAAAGCTATTGTGCGCCTCCTTAATGAGCAAATTATACAACTGATCCAAGTGAGGTGCAGTTGTGCTTTGAAAACAGTAGTAAAATCCATTCTGGTATTGCTGGGGACACAGAGCTGGGTCCATTCTCACTCACCATCTCCTATCGCTTTCAGTGTCTGCTAGATCACACCACAGATGTACACACAGGTAGCAAGTATCACAGCAAAAACTCATTAAAAAACATATATATTTAGGAAAACCTAAGTGCCTGGCTTTCTTTCCAGCCTTGGTTTGAATTTTGTTTGTTATAGATGGTAACTGCTGAAAGGAAAACTACTTGACACGATCTGCCATCAAACTCCACTCTCAACTGCTGATAATTTGAAGAATGTCAGCTTTATGGGCCAAAATTTCCCATAGCATTATCTGCTCCTGTTGGAAAGGTGCCATTAAATGATTAAACTGTCTCTGAGAACCACGTGAGGCCAAAAAAATGCACTGTTTTGACTGCAGAGAAACAGGGAAAAAAAGCTCTTAAAACCTTGGGAATCCTGTTAGGAAAAAAAGCTCCACGCAGATGGGCAGGTGTTACTAAACCCAAAGCCAATGCACTTCGACTGCAAACGGATGTTAAGGCTGCAGAGTCAGCAGATGAAACGATTCCTTCCTGATGTCCTCATTTGAGTCTGAGAAACACCGGCCTTGGAAGTGAGGATCCTGCCCAGAATCCATGGCCAAACCTGCTTGCCCATACAGCTATTTAGGTGGATAACAAAATGAGCAGTAAAAATAGCGCTAGCAGATGGGAGAGAAGATGGCCTGAAAACATGAGGCCGTACCATTAAGCAATCAAATACAATAAAGCTCTACTGCCAGTGTATTTTCTGTTCTCGAGACGTATTGTTCAAATAATCCCACGCTGCCGATCCGTGATGGTTGAGACCTGGGCCCCAAATTTGCTCTCCGTTGTACTGGTACAAATTAAGAATAACTCCGTCAAAGCCATGGCTCGTTCCGGCTTTATTCTGGTGTGACTGAGAATTTGGCAGCTTTCGCCTGGGGGTGGGGAAGCTTCCCAGACAGCCCCTCTCGGTATTGTCTGTGGTTTCTGGACAGTAGCAAGGCGTATTCTTTGGAGATGCTCAGCGTTTGTCAGAAATGCCAGATGGGAAAGCTCGAATTGAAAGATGTCTCCTACTGTGGGAGCGATTGTGGCTTCTAAAATTGGAGGAGCAACAAGCGCTCCCAGCAGTGCTGACGAGACAGCTCTGGCATGGCACCTGGGGAGCAGCGAGAGGGCAGGGAGCAGACTGCATCTCTTAAGAGATGGACTAAAGATGCTACAAAAATCCCTATGACCCAGGCTGCAATGCTCATTCACAGTGGGGGAACGTTCAGCAGTATCCTAATAGAGGAGCTGCTGTGAATCAGTGCCATGGGGCTACAGTCCTGGTCTACCTCTCCTCTTCAGGCTGCGGAGGATTCGGATCTCATTCTCACAGAGAAATACATGCAAAACTTCTACTGGCTTTAGCAATGCACCATCAGAGACCTCTGGCTTCAAAACTCATCCCCATTCTTTGAGGTCATTCCAGGTACAGCCACATAAGAAAAATCACTGAATAGTTGAGGCTCATGGGGAGTGATTTGCTGCCTGCGTGGTGGACTCTGTGTCCTCAGGGTCAAGGGTGTTTTCCTTCCTCCCATCCTTTCCTTGTAGCTTTTGGGACTCCAATTCTGATCAAGAAGGGAAAGCAACCTCACATCTCCCAGAGCATTCAAGATGCCTACACAGCAGAAACATCATAAAACTGGTAAGTTAATACCAATAATCTTTGTGCAATGAAGCTTGAAAATCGGGAACCTACATTTCGTGCCCCAATAAACTTGTTTTCCATCTGAGTGTTCAATCACATTACTTGGAAAACAGGTTGGGGGAAAATAAAGCAGCAGTGAGTAGTTATGGAGAAGAATGATGAAGCCCTAGAAGAAACAGGGATGAACTAAACCAGCTGTGGTGTTCTCTCAGGAACAAAAAAAATGGATAACGTTATTCCAAATCAAACAGGTGTGTTTTAAACAATCATGAAAGGATGTGGTGGAGGCAGACTGAGTCCCTCTAAACAACATTTATGCCTTCTTAGGGGCAAAAATGGCCAGGCAGCCAGAAGATGCAGCGAGATGAGGAGATTTCCTCTACTTCTGGCCCAGAGCTGCGTGGAGAAAGCTCTGGAGACGGCAGCGTTAACTCCCACTGTGACAACAGAGCAGGAGCAGGATGACATTTACTGCCAGTTTGTCAGAAACAGAGAATAATTCCTTCAGCCCCTTTTGCTGGTTTTTACTGGAAGACGAGTTAGCTGTTTGGGCACTCGAGAGCTTAGGGCAAACGTCTATTTATTATTTAAATGTAAATACAGCAAGATAACTTCAGCTCCAGTTAACTTCAAAACAAGCCACTGCTAAGTGGGTAGTTACATAAGTCCGAATATTATGAGTTTTCTGGTAACACTTCTCTATTTTTAAAAACATTTCCCTCTCTCCTGTTGCTGAGCAAAACATCCTGCCTGCACCAGGGAAAGCAGCTGAAATGCAATGCTCCCAGTTCAGCAAGATAACTGAGGTTTCCTGGGTTTAGTGCCTGAAAATGTTTAATTGCTCTTGGGAAGGCAGCACTCTGGACTGGGAAAACATAGACAAGAGTGGGACAGCAAGGTATTTTTTGCTTTAGAGCCCTTCAGTTAAGGTAGCATCTGGATGTGAGTCCTAACAGCAGATGAAACACATTTTGGAAGGGCTGTAATTGGAAATTAGCTGCAGAAACATGCTCTGAGACTACACGAGGAGGAACTGATCGTGAATGAATGTCTATAGTGAAACTGTAAAAAGGTCACAGCAATTTATTGCTGCTGGGGACAGCACACCCACACCTGCGTCCATGCAGATGTTTCCTCTGGTTCACCACGATCCATCCGTGTACACAGACAATGCGTGACAGCTGCTGGCAGCAGGATGACAAGAGCTGAGCCTGCCGTGACACAGGGGACATTGACATGCACCCACCTGGCTCCTGCGCTCACCACGTAGAAGGGATCTCTCACCATGGGGCCAAACTCGCTGCTCTCCCTCCTCAGCAGGTCCTGGAGTGCAAAGAAAGTGTGAGCAGTGAGAGGACAGCAAAACAAAATACAAAACACTGATAATTCCTAATTCACAAGCACAGTGTGTGCCATATACAGACAGGAAGAAAGCTCTGGCGTGGTGTGGCACCCTCCAGCACCCTCCTCCTGCCCACAGGACCTTTCCCAGCATGGACTGTGGACACATTTATCCACAGAAAGGGGTTTTGGAAACCTCTCAGCAGGTCCTTGCCTCTTCTAAAAACACGTTCAAGGGTACCAGTGGGACCTGGGTGTTCACCTCTGGTTTATGTGCAAGGAGCTGAGGCACCATTGAAGCAGCCTTAGCTGAAAACCATCCCAAAGTCTGGCACTTGGTTCTTTTGAAAACCAAAGCGCAGGAACTGCCTCCTCTTTGGGCATTTCTGTCACCTAAAACCAGAGAAATCCTGCAGCTGAAATACCTTTGTGAATCCGACCCTCTCTGCCCTCGGAGCTCCCACCACAGGACACCAGGCTATTGTGGGACATGAAAGCAAACGCTAAGCCTGCTTTTGAAGAGCTCGGTATTTTCTCCCGTGCGATCCTTTCAGCCCAGAGGGTTTCAGTGCCCCCCCCTTTCCCCACACTCTTACTAATTTGCTTTTTTGGTCAGCGTTGCTGCAGAGGGAGGGTGAGCGCGGATCTCGATTTAGGAGGCCGGGAGATATGCGGGCTGAGACAGACTTAAAAAAGCAGGGAGGGAGGAAGGCTGAGAATGTGCTCTGAGGACTGAGAGCCAATAATCCCACACGGCTATCAATTTCCTTGTGTCTTTAAACAAATTCCTGCAGTGACATTGCAATGTGATTTATACATCATACGCTGTACACAAGGCGCTGACAAACACAGCGAGGCAGAGAAGGCTGCTGCTGAACTGGAAATCAACATTTCCCACAAGAAATCTGAAAAACTAAACTAAACCGAGCTAAAATCGCTCCGTTGCTTTGGCTTTGTCCCCTACTTTTATAGCTGTGGCTTTGTATCTGTGACAGTTCAGAAACCAAACTCCTTAAGAGAGCACTTAAACATATACTTCCCTTTCCAACAAGCACTTATGCCTTGGTGTGTATGTTCAAACATCTTCCTGAATTAGGATTTAAAAATGGGATTTTCACAGCTGCCTACGGACTAAATCCTCATTGCAGAGGTGGATACAGCTCTGGGAAGCAGCCATGAGGGCTCTCCCCTCTTCTACACCTGAACTAAGGCCCTGGGAGCGGGGCTGCGCTGCTCTTCATCGTCTTCCTTGAGCCAGCTTCAACAGGCAGAAACTCCAAGTGTATGCAAGATTAAAAATGAGCCAACAAGGGGGAAATAAAGGTCTCCAGAACTGCCCTGTATGTCACAGAATCACAGTCTCACAGAATCTTAGGAGTTGGAAGGGACCTCAAAAGCTCATCCAGTCCAACCCATGCCAGAGCAGGATCACCCAGACCAGGTCACACACGTCCACTCCCTGCCTGAGTGAGGGAGCTGCCTAAAAATGAACTAGGGCTGCTCGTTGTCCAAAAAAAGCACATCTTAGTGATTTTACTCCTTCTGCATGCATATTTTTGTTGCCAGTCTGCTCTAGGAGGCAGAGAAAGAGCCACAGCTTCTCCTTCACCCTAACTCTTTTTTAAGGACTGTCCTCTTACTGAACACAAGACTTCACGATCACAAGTGTGACAGAATTGCACAGATGAGCCCGATGCCTGCCTGGTGTGGAAAAATCCCAGTGGTGGGATGAGACAGCAGTGGCTGTGGAAAGGCATTTCGGTCACTTGATATTCGCAAGCTGCTTCTTTAATTCTCTGTATTTATTTAAAAACGTAGTGTGGGATCTGAGGTCTGTCGAGGGAGGATATTTGGAATGAAGCACTTAACAGATCTGGGAGGATGACTCCTTGCCCTGCACCCCAGTTTGGGCTGTTTCTGAGATGCTGCTCAGAGCCTCTTCTACGTTATCTGACTCCTCGGTCCCACTTTGTTGCACCTGGATAATCTGCTCTTGGGCCAGCAGCAAGTGCAAGAGCAGAGAGAGATGTCCTTGAGCTCAGCTTCCTGAGACTGCCCAAACACTCCGAATATATGGAGCGAGGAGCCTCTCCTCACATTTTGGTTGTTTCCTCCCTCTCCCCATGATGGAGTGGAGCCTGGTGTGGAAATAGGGGCAGCAGCCCCACCACTGCTGTAAATCCCTGTGACCTGACCACCTGCACTCACCTAAATAGGTCTGAGCAGATTTCAGCCTGCTGAAGTTTGAAGTTTCCCTGCTTCTACTATTTACCATCATCAGAGCCAGTCAAATTCCCCACTCCTGACATCAATGCAGTGTTCCCAGCCACCAAACGAGGGACATGGAAAGAGT